TTTGACACAGTGCACGGCGCGGCACTCTGGCTGGTGTTAAGTAACTTTGGTTGTCTGAGTAAATTTGTAAGTTTACTTGGATGTTTGCATAATGGTATGCGGACGACGGTGCAGTTTTGTGGGTACATCTCCGATGACTGTAAGATTGTCTCTGGTGTGAAGTAAAGCAGCTTTTTAGCCTCTACCGAGCTTGAGAGTTAGCTAAGTGGCACGATGTCGTGTACTTTGATGCTTGTGACTAGAGTGTCCGTGTGAGCACCGTATTGATGGTGGGCTGCTGAAGATCCATTGTTCATGAGCAAGAAGCCTGATTTATGAGAAAAGCACCCGTATGGTTGTGTTTACCGACGACTCAGCGTTGTTTGCACCCAATGAGGATAAGCCGTAGTGCATGACCTCGGCTATTGATTTCACAGTGGCAAATTTCCGACTCGAAGTTAACATAAACAAAGCTGTTTGCCTGTTTCAGACTTCACCAGGAATGAAATCCTTGAACTCACCGCAAGTTAAATTACCAGTGATGTTTAGTGGAATACATCAAAATTCTGCCACCTCGGGAGTTTACTGTCGACGGAAGTACAGATGGGGTGGGAGCTAAGCCACCGCTATTGAAGGCGACTTTTGCATTTGGGAATTTGAAATATCAGTTGTGAAAATATCCCTTGCTAACTGTTGAGACTTGTTTGATGGTGTAATTTTCAATATTTCTGTCTTTCTATCTTTCACGGACGCAAAATTTTGTGATCTACAAGTAGCACAAGATATATTTGCAACTTTTTCATCATCAGTGCTTGTGTCGGATTCTGCGAATATGCTGGTGCCAGAGTTTCTGAATCCGAAATTCTTCCTCCGATTGACATGTATGGAGTAAACTACCTAGTTCTGCTGCTACAATTGAGGTGGCACGGACACATCCGCTGAATGAGTTCGACGACGTTACCAAAAACGGTTACATGTCCAACTTATTACAGGAAAGCTCAACGTTGGTAAACCGAAGTTACGATAACATGACACCAAGTTTTAAGAATTCTTTTTGCGATACTCTGGAAACGCAATTTCTAGACATGTCATGCAACGTAGCGGCACTGGGCCAAGTAATGAAAATATCCGGGCCATCGCAAAGGATCCAGCAACAAATAACTTAACCGAACTGAGTTCTTCAATGGAAATATGTTCTTACAGTCTACGCTATCCTTGAGATTTTGTGACACTGGCAGAACCACAAGGACAACTAACCAAAAAAGCATATGCATTCGCTTGCTCAACCTACCAGTAAAGTGTATTTGTAGGACCGAGAAGTAGGAATGCCTCAGCTCCAATAGTTGTAAATTTGGTGTGGAGAAGCACTATTGTCTCGACTAATGCGTCTGATGTTGGTCTCGGTACTTTTCTCTTACAGGTGCAAAATGGAGTGGAGAGTTATTACTTACTCATCACGTAACCTATAAGATTCGGAGGGTCATTATTCATTTAGGGAGTAAGAAGCTCTTGCTTGTGTACGGGTTTGTGAAAAATGGCGCTTTTTTCTATTCCGTCATTGTTTCACTATACGAACTGGTCATTTATCCTTTACAGCCTTCCTCAGCAGTGGATCTAACGGATTACGTTCAATGGAAATCAATCATTGGTATACCAAATTCCTTAACCACGCTTTTCAACGTCTACGGGCAAGGTGTTCACAATCATGTTGCTGGTGGATTACCTCGCTTGCCTGCTGGACTGGAAGATGACTAGTAGAGCCGGGGAGATTCAGTATTTGTTCATATTCTTGGGGTCGACCTACCTGCCATGACGAACGACAAATCACGAATGGATATTTCAACGGCCAGGTACTACATCAACTCAGCTATTATGTGTAACACGGTTGACCCAATAACAACAAATTTCCTGGCGAATTCATTCTGTAGTACGCAATTCTAGATATGCATTAAGTGATTGTTGGTTGCCTGATGCGTGATTGGCAGTATGTAACTCCACCTTAGTTGGTAAACAGAAGAATTGATTTCGCGCCTGGGATATCCCCAGGTATCGTAAGAAAGAAAAATCAAGCGTGACTCTAATTTTGATGACAACGAATGGCATCTGGTATCAAGACATTTGTGATAAACTGTTACGCTGGTCGCCTAGCGGACAGAAATTTCCTGCCGGTCAAGGCCCCGATGCAACCTATAACTTACTCGATGAAGTTTTGGGCTATGACTACCGTTGATACTATGAGTTCCTACACCACCGCTTCTAGGAATAAGAGCAATTTACTTGTTGCTAGATGATTTTACAGTAAGTGGTCTGAAGTCCTCGTGTGCGACCAAGTGACGACTTCAGCTGTGCTACGCTGGCTTAAACACTTGTTAAGTCATTTCGGACTATGAGAAGGGACAGTCACACGTAATGAACCAAGGTTTTCTAGTCATGGTATTGTGGCTTGCCTCCAGTACCACAATATAACACAATCCAAAACCGCAGTTTACCATCCTGTGGTCAGTGGAATGGTCTCTTGACTAAACCGATCCCTCAGGGAAGAAATGCAGAACATCGAATTAGGAGGCTCGGACTGGGGAGGTGTTGTTCTCACTGCCTTAATTTCTTACGGTAATTGTGACCACCGAGCTACTAAAAGAACGCCAGCGGAGCTGATGCTAAGAAAAACCTTACGCACTAAACTAATTGCTGGATATACTCTGCCATCTGTAGAGGTGACAAAGTTTCTAATCGTGTAGCGCTTTATCAAAAATCCTGCTGCAGGTTATCGACTTCTATGCAGCCTGGAATATACGTTCGCGTTAAGAAACTGTCTACGCAAAATTGTCAACCAAGACTATTCGCACTAGTGAGAATCCTGCAGACTTGACCCAAGGACCTAGCAATTGGAAAACAACTTAGTCAGTAAGGCACGTCATCTCCATATGGCTCATCGACCAAATGTCCAGTCTCACCAAATTACAAATAAAGACTGTCACCGCTACTGCGAAACCAGCTTCCTCGGTCAAGGACCGTGGATCGATTCTTGTCGGCGTGACGCGGACTTTCTAAAGTGCGAATTGCTGGTCGTGTCTGGCTAATACCGATGTACTATACTCTCAGTTCATTAGCTGGTTTGAATACACTTACATTTTTCCATTGTTTTTGTTAAATACCGAAGTGATCAGCCGATATACGTGCTAAGAAGTGTTATTGCCTGCTTAAGTACATTTATACCTACTTTTAACTTACTTTAACGACGCAACCATGGTCACCGCATGGCTACTTGCGACTCCGAAAGTAAGTGAGAAGGCAACGACCTTCCGCCAAGCGTTGAGTGCCTTAGCGAAGATCAAGAGAAAACCAATAGAAGACGAACAGATTTTACAGCCTGATACTTATGCCACGTATTTCCTCGTCAGCGGGAAGGTGGCTTAGTTGTAATTTGGCAATGGAACGAAAGTGGTAATAAGACAGACGTAATTGCCACCCAACAACGGCACAGCTAAGCGAACCATGCAATCGGAGACTTGGTAACAGCGTCAATTCATTAGGACAGCGAGGTTTGCTAACGTTGTCGCCGACAACCCTGCATGACAATTGGACTGGTAAACGTGGAGGAAGATAAAAGTTATCCGACTCAGTATTTTGTGAAACTGTGTGCTGATCACAACAAAATTATCGGTCGGTCCTATTGATCGATAAATGGTTTCGGAGCACACACGATTCGTACTGACAACGACTCACATAGTCCACTTTGCTGCATTTTAGTCCTGCTCGTACCAATGTCATAATTTGAGCCCTAAGTTCATATGCACTTGGACACCAGTGTTATCTATCGACAGCGACATCTGCTACACGAGCAAAAACAGCTGTCACGGGTACTTAAGTTACCGCGTCAGCAAGATGTATGAAATTGACCACTAACATGTCTCATGTTACATCGTATGTCCTGTAAACAACTGTTGATGCATGTATGCTATCAAGGCGTGACATTTTCATCTCACAGTTTACGACTTCTGGACAAATTTGGGAAATAATTTTTCCAAAATAGGGGTAATTCAAGGCCAGCTTGGGAGCTGAATTTAAGTTGCGTTTTCTCCTTCTTTCTAGGCTCATCTTATTCAAATCCACCGGTTTTGCAATTATTCATTTGCAGTGCTCCTCCAACATAAGTAGTTTCTCAATGCTGACACCGGATTCTCCATTTTATTTGCCAGTCTATATGTCCTGGCGAGGCACTTCGTCATATCTTCAACAATGGCTCCATTCCATTCGACTACACGGATCAAACAAATTTTTACTACAAAGAAACTCACTTTGGTTGTTAAGTTGTCTGAACATGTGGAATTCAAATCTGACAGTTTTTCTGTAAGCTACAGGTTTCTGGAAATTCACTATAAATATTTTGCAAAAGACCAAAATGCTCACAATGACGTAAACAGCCTCCAGCACTTAGAGACATGCTCAAACAATTCAGGTCCAACTGCTCGTGCTGCGAATGTTAATATTTCATCCACACTTTCAGGGTTACCAGTTCACTCCAGTTGCAGTTATGTTGACGATGTGCGCAATCTATGTAGAAAATTTAGGTTAAAATCATGTTATGAATATGGAAAGTCTCCGCGAATATCTGTCTGTTTTCACATCCTTGGCACCATTGATGTGAATGTTGACGAGTTCCGGAATACCTACCATTGAATCTTGACTCTAATTGCCAAATCTCTCCGTCATCTACCTTCTGGTTGACAACTAATGTGGGCTGGCAGATCTTTCTAGTCTGAACTGCTCATAGTTTATACGCAGGTAGGTTCGTCGGTGGGCTGTTCGCCCTTATATTTATCTGGGAACTATGAAACGATCGCCACCAACCATCAAATTGAATCATCAGATCAACTCCACTAAGATTGACTGTGCAATGCAGGTATGAAGCCAAGACCACCAGTCACTCTGCTCTATTACACTAAAACAATCAAGAGAAAATATTAGTGTAAGAGTATTACAGCACAAATCATAGTTCAAGTTTTATATTTGGTAAGGCTTTCAACTTCAGTTGATTCGACAAGGTTAGAAGGGATTTCGGACCCAATCCAACGACCATTCTGGATCTACCAACAAGAAAAATCTGGATCATGACAATTGCTACGTAAACGGCGCGGTTGGTTTAATGGGAAATAAAGTGAAATTCAATAGGTATTTGACTAGCCGACTAGTAAACAGAGCCTGTGCTTCTAGTTGCCCGTGCATGTCGCCATAAGAGCATTGCATACACAATCGAATAAGTTAGGTCAATGAGTTAACCAGCTGAAGCAAGCTGAAAACAAGCAGAACGGACGCCAACACACTGACTTTGGAAATTACAAAGCATTTACGCTTCCATTCTCAACCCCAACCATATCGCCACGGAAGATCTGTAGGGGGACTGTGGACAACCGCTTCATTTTTGAGGTCACCGATGTGCATGAAATTGGTCTGGTCAGATAACCACAAAGCTACTTGAGGCACTTGGACGGTTACTAGTTCCTCGGGTGCACCCGTTTTACATTTATTTTACCTAAAGCAGTGAACGTAGTTTTCCCACCGGACTTCCCGGCTTTGAGCAATTATACCTTTTTAACTTTAAGCAACTGTGTGCGTCGCTTGGATGCATATTTGGTCCAAATTTCTAAGCAATGCACAACGACTGTTATCAGCATCCAAAAAGCAATCTGCTAATAGGATATTAGATCCGGAGAAACTGTAATCAGACTTACCATCAGACCTGAATACCTCTCTGGGCACATAGATCTGAGGAGTTATCAGCTTAATTTTGGCAACACGCAACAACCGGCTGGAATGTCGATGATCTTAGTCTACCTCCGAGGACATCAATCGTGAAACGCCCTCGACTCATGTCAAATTTGGTCCCACCTTAATGTTATTCCAATGATTACTAGAAGTTGCAATAGCGCGATTACATTACGAGATTTAGCTTGTGATAATTGTGTGATGAAATCACATGCAACTTAGCTTTTTCATCTACCTCAACATAGAACCCAGTAACATGCTCTTTCAACCTTGTGGTGAAATACACTATTTTAACACAATTATCACCCACACCATCCAAATGGCTCTAGCATCAGCTGGCTCAATAGTCGATGGCAATATTGGCAATATTTGCTTTCAATTCGCTTGGACCGTCAAAGACGCTACATTTTATAAGCCTGCAAGCAATCGAAAACACAATAGACTGTTCAACATTGATGACCTTGTAGAAAGCAGGGCGGGTTTTGGTGTTAATTCGGCTAACGTTTGAAAGCGGCCAATTCTTGATCAAACAGTCCGACGTAAGTTCGAAAAAGCGATAAACAACCGTTTTTATTTTATTGGAAGCTGTCGATTGTATGCATATCATAGACTCATCCACCAGGCCTAAATAACAACGCTTTTATTTGATGGTCAGATTGTCATAGAACCACGCTATGTTTGACTACAATGAGCTGTCAAGGTCAATCTCATTTGGATGCAGTGTTCAAACATAGTTTCCCCAGATTCGGATGAATCTCTCTGACTAGGAGCTGGCTGCGACGAATATTCCCCAATGGTATCTTTAAAACTCCGTAGCAAGTGGTAACAGTTGATACTTACCCGAGCAGCATAAAGGCATCACGGTTGCCTATGGAGGCGAAATCGGTCTATAACGAAGCTAGCGTTAAATCCTAGTGGTCTAGCATCATCGTTTACTTCTGAAAGATGTCGCTAAGTTCCAAGCGTACTTGTGATGAGTCCGACTGCAGTAAGTGTGAGCTTAGCACACATTGTCAACCAGTCTGCACAGAACAATCGGCTGTCTAGCGATTGTCCTGATATGTATGGTGCAGCATGACCAAGAAGTGATGGTGACCGAACCATGCTACCAGTAAAATAGGCTCCTTTTTGTTATATAACTATCCATATTGCACAACAGAACCTATCGCTCGCATGCATCGCATAAGTAGCTGGACCAACCAGACTTCTCACCACTTGATTTAACACTTATGGCATATCAGATGGGAAACCCGGTGCATGACATAGGCTATTTACGCTGAAATCGCCCTGAGGTAATGCGGAGGTTAGTCACAAGTTTGCAAGAACATGCTTAACGCTGGCATAGAAGCCGTTGTGTAGGAGTACCGGATGTGAGGTGCGAAGGTGACAGCCCACAAACAAAATATTTAATGTGCTACCACTTACTGGACAATGATATAGCCGCAGTGAAGATATGTTCCCCGTTACTCGTGTCCGACAAAACACTCCGTGACTATTTTCCTTGATGACTGAATGTTTCAGATAGAGACAACAGCTGAGGATCGGGCAAGGATGTATTGGTTGTAGGTCAACCATTTGATCACTAGATCACTGAGATTCTCCGGAAACACCTGCCATAGCAGTACACATGTTGTTGTCGATTTTGTTTATGGCCTTCAGCGTGTGAGTGAAATTAGGTAGCAATCTCAGCTGGGGTCACAATTCACTTCGGGCTTAGCTTTGGTTAATTTCGTCACCGGACTCGTAGCTGGAACTTGTCTATTTCGACGTCCAGTCTGTTATATTTAGTTCGGTGTTGAGTTATTCAAATTCAACTGCCGGTGGTGAACATCACCAGGCTACAAACCATTTCAGAGCAGTAGTATGTAAGTTCTCGTTTTGAAATTTACAGTAAAAGAAAGCAAATAGTATCATGATAAGCACGACGCAACAACTGGCATCGAGACATTGCGGTACTCAACCTTTCGCATTTAACACACTAGTCCTGCTGTTTTGCCTCAGCTTCACAATTGCGGTTTTCATTTAATGCTCATATTACTTCGTGGACAATGCACAACATTCGATTGCTATTTTAGTACATTTCTCTCCTAGTTTCTATATTACATTCCTATATCTCACTTAATCGACCCACGTTGGAATAGTCTTCTATGGTGTACAGTAAGTTAGAAAGCATGAGTGCACCGCATTAGAACAAGTACAGAGAACATGCATAAGACGCCGTTTTTGTGCTTTTTTAAAAGTGAGATATTATTGATTATGTTGTACGCTTAAGGTCGATCCGCTCTAGTTACACGCATGGAGCAAAACCTAGTAATATTTCTCAACGTCTCGCACATAATACATGCGTTTCCAACCTTGGCGTAGCATTCACACAATTACCCATTTATAACACACAAAATAAAGAGAAGTCAGTGGCGGAATGCAGGTCGAGAACAAACAGATTTGTGCACGTTTTCTAACCAGTACACTAGAGTCTGGAATAAGATGCCAGCTGGAGTGTGTACCTGCACTTTTACACAAGTATTCCGTAACGCAATCGACATGTTCTTCATTGTACAAAAGGTGATCAAGTTATTCGGTTTTTCCATAACAGCAAGCCAAGCGTAAGGGGATCGCACTAGTTTCATATGACCCACTACATGGTTCGTTACCAGAATCTCTCATGTGAGTTAACTTTTTTATTCTTCCTTACAGAATGGTGTAATGTCAGCCAAAATAAATTCATTTCAGTCAACAAGTTTATGTACGATTGATGTGCTTTCAAACGTGGCGATCTGATCTGATTTTTAATTCTCCTGCTCCAACTTGGATCAGCGTTCTATACAAGCATACACACATCTGATGTGTTTCGTATCTGCGAGAACATAAGATTATTAATTTACTTGTAAGTCTCTAGGAGAGCACCGAAAAGTTCAAAGCTGATTGTTTAAGCTATTGTGCTCTTTGGGTTATCCTTGTTCACATACTGTTCCCGTTGCTCCTCGCATCCGTGCTCTGACAATTCCGAACCTTGACTATAGGAAGTGTATTTAGAACGAACGTGCCTTATATAGACCTTAATTGTACCGAGTCCTACTTTTGAAAACCAACTGTGGCAATCATAGTGTTTTAGCACAATGAATGACAGTCTTACGAACATCTCGGCCATTCAACAGAAGTTTGTTATGTTAAAGACTCAAGGTGGCAGGTGCTTTTATTTTTCACTAATTTGATCTTGAGGTAAGCAAGGCTAAAAAAAGAACCAATTATCACCTTGGGGGTTTCTAGTACCCATTCTTTGCGTCACTGGTATAGTAAGGCTGCACCTAATAATTACATGGAGGTTGAATCCTAAGTCCTGTTACTGAGTCTACGAAACACTTGCTTTAGCGATTGCATTACCCTTTCTTCGACCTACATGTGCTTGATGTGAGTGGAATGGATACAAGCCACATGGTTTTGCTTGGTTCTTAAAACCGGCTGCAAAGGGATCAGGAGTGTGGATGATAAGCAAATAACAGCGTAACTTTCAGGCATCAAATTGTAACTGAGCAATTATTTATATAGACCATTCTCAACATTCAAATTCACGTAACAATTGCTTTAGTGAAGTATAATAAATCGATGGGAAATGATTGTCATTGGTGCCATCACCCTAGCGTTCAGTCCCGCGATACTCAACAACAGTAGAAATACGGCGTGTGTTTATCCATCTGACTTAGCCAACTATCGCAATATGTATTATAATTCCCAAGAGGTTTCCCGTACATGACTGGATGTCTGAAGTATAGGAGCCACAAGATGATCGACGTAAACATGATTTGACATGGATCCACGTCAACTAACATTGAGAATGAAGTCCAGTGTATCTAATGGACGGATAAGCAGTGCCCAACTTAAACGAATCTACTTACCCGCATCTGGGAAGAAGAAATACACACCATGGACGTTCGTTATCATCCGAAGTAACGGTAATATGACGGTCATTTCAAATTGTTCTGGATCGTCCAGTCTATTCATAGAGAAACTGATACACATGTCTCCGTAAATTTTACTTCCATCGTGCATGCAACCGTAGTTTATGATGCGGATTCGGTTGAGGCGGTATCCAGCTTCTCGTAGCACCTTCAGTATCTGAATAGTAATGAAATCATATTGCATAAAAACAATATTTTTAGAAGGCCAGTTAATAAAGCGGCTACTAAACGCTGCCACACAAAAATATAAAATACCCTACAATTTGCTACAATCCTTGGCGAAACTGCATAACTGGACGCGCTTAAAACCCTATTGATTTGTATCGAACATTGTACCTGAAACGGTGGGCTTTTGTACCTTAGTATAATTCTCGTGCAAATTAGATAGGTTTTACAAGCCCTAATAACCTACTGACAGACCACCAAAAGCACTTGTACGCTCTATCAAAACAAGAAGCTCTACCCTTAATTCAAAGATAAGACAGGAATCGAATGATACGCGCACAAAAATCTCCTTGCTTGTAGCCCCTCCGTTAGCACAGTAAAAACGAATGGTGGATTCTCCGCAAATACTCCTGTCTTGAAGCGTCGGGTACCAAAACATAAAGCGACTACCAATCTATGCCTCTGAAACACCTTAGCTCCTTAGGTCCATAAACATGTCACATGTAAATGTTCAGCAAGTATCACGGATCTTGCAGCCTCACTGACAAACAGAAGTGCATTATTAGAGGAGCAGTTAAATGAACAAATTGCCAGACTTTTGCGGCTGGATTCTGTCACGGACAGCCTGATGTCCGTTTGCTATTGAATTGATCCACTATCTAATGCAGAGCACAGGCATATCGTATAAGTTAACTAAAAGATGCGAGCGTAACAAAAGGGTTCTTGCCCTCAATATACGGGACCACATGGAGCTTACCACTATCAGGAATGCAGTTGTAAAGACCTACAGCATACCGATAAACGAAATTAATTGCAATAGACTATGGAAAATATACCTAAATCATCCATGAACTACGCTTTTCCGAAGCAGTAACGTACACTTGCTAGCATGCTAGTTACAAAACAAAAAAGTGTGTGGTCCATTCCGGGATTAAAAAAGTAATTACTTTTGAAGAAAGAACCCCTTCTAACGCGAATTTCATCAGGCTAGATCTACTAATAACTCACCACGGCGCATGAAAAAACATTCCACTTATTCCTCACTGAAATCGATGGAAGGGATAGTATCCGGTGTAGGTTGCATTGGACCGTTAGGCAGAACCGTCAATTTAGAGCAATTTGCAGCCGCCATTAACTCACCAAATGCTATGGAGGAGATTTGTGGGAGCACTACCAGTACACAGGATGCCGTCACATGTTTAGATACAGAGAAAACTTCGTCTGTAAAATTGCGGTCTGAAACTCATCCATGCAGTGAGCCTTCAGATAATTAGCTAAAAGCGTCTGATTGTCCCAAACCGGGGACAAAACTATCCGCGATTGCTTCACAGGGAATAGAGGTCGGTTGGAATAATAACTCGGAAAGTACACCCGTATCAGGAAGCAAAATATCTAGACATGCCATCCACTGGTTATAACAACACTCGTCCTCGAAAGCTTTCTATTCATAGTAAGAGTCTTAATATGGTCGGGGTGGAGCCAAAATATTCTACCATAAATAAAAACGACAACAATCCCATGTTATCTGCAAAACATAAACCCTTAACCTCTCAGAATACGCCTGCTGGCTCATTGGTCATTAGGCCCCTAACTTTCGTTATGATAATAAATAGTACTTTTTCTTGTGCTCATTTCTACTTGCCCCCACCTTTGAGTAACTCCACAATAATACCACCCCAGCTTATGTTAAACACTCTCGAACTAACCTTTTTTGGAATAGCTTCACCCTTTCCGACTCCCCTTTTACTATCAACGAATGCCATAAATATCACTTTGAAAGAGTTATTGCGGATAGCTCTGCAGCTAATATAGGCTCAAATTCTATTGAGTATTGCAGCTCTAACCTGAATCAGAATGCCAACTGAATGGTGTTACTTACTATGCGTTCACTGGCAAATAAGATTCACATACTCCTTACCTTCGTGTATCTAAATAAACCAGACATTGTCTTGCCTACTGAAACTTAGTGGAGCTCAAATTTCTCAAGTCAAATGACTTCAACTGACGAATATAAACTGATCAGTAGCCATCCTAAGACACGGAAGGGTGGATGTTGCATTATTTACTGCGCACAAAACCTGATTGTTTCTGAGTACACACCCGCCTACTTGTCTCTCTCTTGATACTGTCTTGTTAATCTTGACGTTCGGTGGAAACCGATCCATTGTAGATTGCAAAGATCGCCCACCTGGTGCCATCAAGTATGATGAGATCCAACTAGTAAATATTTTTAGCTACCTTTTAGGGGCTTGAACCTGCCTGACCAATGCTGTTCTAGATTAGTACCACGCGGGATTCAAGTGGAACTTTTAGCCTTTTGGATTACTGAAGGCTGGACACAGCATATTCTTAGATCTACAACGGGTACAAATGCGCTGGACCTAGTTCTTACTTTATGCCCTATGTCCCCTTTCACTGAGGTAATACCTGGCCACCCAGGATGCGACCACGAATTAGTAGCCTGCAAAATCTTGGTCGACCCCCCGCATTGGTCCATACAAACACATACGCTTTCCTCCCTACAAGTGTTATCCGGGACACATTTTCCATTATACTCCGGTCGCAAAATTGGAACGATTTCTTTCTTTCCCATGACATCCAGAATGTATCTGCTCTGCTTTAGCACAAGATGTGATATTGCTTGAACTTATTGTCTATTATCAAAAAGAAACCTTGTGCTCGACCCACGACTAGCTCGACTATTGCTGAAAAAGATAGAAAACAAATGCCCTGGACGCCCCACATGCCGACGGCTGGGTGGGAGTTGGGTTTCACCCTTCTTCTAGCTAAGAGCCAGGACACACACAATTCTGCGTGAGTCAGTGAACTGACCATGTGCTGGACCCGCTGACTTTCGGGTGTACATTTAATAGAAGGATTTGGCTGAGGTCTTGAGACGTTCTCCTGTCAAGCATGGACGCCCCGCCGGTATCCTAGTCAAAACCCCATACTCCTCGGAGGTTAGGAAGAGGTCGATGGCTTTTGTCTCGTCAAACACAGCCATTGGAAATGACAACAGCTAGAATGGTGCAGAGCACGAGCGCCACCCATTGTTGCTGACAGTGAGAGGGCACCTTTGGGTGCTCAATGATTTGCTACTGCCCGCCTTAAGCCAGGCAGCCCCTGGTCAACGTAGTGCAAACCCGGCAAAACTCTCCTGAGTCTGACTGTGGTCGCATGTGCGTACCGTAATAAGGTCAAAAAATGTAAGTGCATACGCCTAAATCTTCAAAGGCTGTGTGTGACAGACGTCAAGTAGATCCCAGTGGGTTACCGTAATCACACTCCCGAGCTGGATCTGCTCCCCACTGCCTTATGGATAAAGCTATTGAGCCAAAGGCTCCGGATGAAGCCACCCAAGCAAATCTCTGATAAACATGGGCAACCAGCAGTGCGATTGCCCACCAATGCAATCGTTTGCCTGTGCGCAAAAACACTCAACATCGGGTGCCGGAATGTGCGCACACTGATCGACCGGAACTCGAGTGAGTACACCGAGCGGCGCACTGCAGTGAACGCGATAGAACTGTTGCGCTGCAACATCGAGATTGCGACGCTCAGCGAGATCCGGCTTGCTAAGATAATTTGCATGATGCTGGCGGTGGCTATAAGTTCTATTGGGTGGGAAACACTACCACAGCACCACGTGAACAAGGGGTCGGATTTGCAATATCCGATCGTCTAAATGGCCAGCTGGTGAGTGAACCCAATTAAATCTGCGCGCGACGGATGATTGTGCACCTATGATTCGCAAGGGGTACTTTTGCCACCATTTCAACAACGTACGTTTCCGCCATCTGTTATCGGGATGACAAGCGTGTTCAGTTCTACATTCAATTGTCCTTCGTGATACGTTCTGTAGCGAGGAGCGATCGGCTATTTCTGCTGGGAGATCTCAACGCGCAAGTTTGGCGGGATGCTGCGGTGTAAACAGTTGTGATCAGTCCGCATGGCATTAGTTCAGCGAATGCGAACGTTGAAAGGCTGCTCTCACTGTGTGCCACTCACGGCGTGATGATCACATGGTTTGCACTGAGTGCGAGTGATATAGCAACTTGGACGCACGCACGCAGCGATCACGCTCACTTGCTCAACTATGCTAAGGTCCGTCAGCGTGACATGCGTGAAGTGCGCATGACACTTGTACTGCGTGGAGCTGCGTGTGGCACTGATCACAAATTGGTGCGGAGCAAACTGTACATCTACGTACGGAAACTTATGTACTGTGTGCCTGCCGTGAACGGGAGGAGTACATTTACTATTCGCTCCCTCGGCGCTGTAAAAAATCGAATTGAGGGGACGAAGACGACGGCTGCACGCCTGTGTGATGTGGAATGCATAGCCGCAGTGGGCGCCCTGTGGCACCACATTCGCGATCAGGTGACAGCCGCCGCCGAGGAGACCATGGCGCTTGCAAACTGTAAGCGACCCGATTGCTTTAATGAGAACAATGAGAGGAGTGGCGCAACGGCGTCTGAGAAGAATGCAGTATTTGCTACCCATGTGGCGGCCCTCACTGTCTTGGAAAAGAAAAGGCAAATTCACGACATTCGACGGCAACCAACACGAGAGCTCGGTCAACATAAAAATGCAGGGTAGACGAAGCCGAAGAAGATGAAGTGGTACGCCAGACGCCGCCAACTCAAGGAATTCCTTGACTTCCTGTGCTAGTATATGAGTCAAGTTTGGAGCCGCTGAGGAAGCTGATCGACAGTAATTCATTCGCTGCCTATACACAGACTGCAAATGTAATGCGATCTGCAAAAACACTTTGACTGTCTCTTGAACAAACGTTCTGAGATTGACTGGACTATGTTGAACGGCCTAAGGCAGCACGAGGTGAAGATGAGTCTTTTAAACAACTAGACACTGGATGAGACGCAGAGTACACTTGCTCAGCTGCGAAACGGCAAGTGTGCCGTTGCCGACGGGATCCCCCCTGAAGTATTGAACAACGGCGGAGGTGCGTTGGTGACTGCGCTGCACCACTTG